TTAATACACCCTATCTCATTAACAATAAAATATTTCGTCACACTTTTTTGAGGTTAATTAAGACAAAAATCATTATATTTTATGTTAATTGATTAATATTTATATTTTTTTATTGAACCATATAATAGTTTGTATGGAATCATATAATAGTTAATATTAAAAATAGTAATTATATTTTACACTAAATGATATATGAAATTTACATAAAATTATATTTTACACTAAAATCAATATTATATTTTTTATATGATTAAGTGATTGTTTTTTAAATAAATTATTTTTTTTGTGTGTCATAGTAAAATTTCTTAAAATCACGTAAGCAATTGTTATAATAAATTTAATAATTTTCAGTTAATTATTTGGTCATGATCACTCAAAATTACAAAAATTATATATTTATTACATTTTATGCAACCAGTATAGTGATTCGTATGCAATCAAATCATATGTACTATTTATTTTAACCAATGATCAAATTTTAAAATATAATACTATATCTAATTTATAATTTTAATATTCTATGTATAAATATAACTTATAATACTACATGTTTGAAATATAATATTATTATTTAACTTATAATTTTAATATTATACGGATACAAATAACTTATAATTTTTAATTTATAATCTGTGCAAATACACAGGGACAAATACTATTATAAATGATGATTAAGGACTAAAAATGATTACAGTTTGAGTTGAAAATTGAAGAAGCTTGGGCATTGGTTATAATGTGTTTAAGGTTGTTGATTATGATCAGAAGGTAGTGCTCGGAAATTCTTAGTCAAAAATACTTTTATTCCCTTTCTTGTCATTAATGTTTGTGGCTTAATGTATACTTATTATACATTAGTATTTGATACTCCCTCCTATTTTTTTAAATGGCATTCTAGCCTTTTCAACTATTTGTCAAATAAATGTCGTTTTGGATATTTTGTACATATTTTTCTATTATTACCCTCATTTAGCCAATAAATACATTACGTCTTTTCATATTCACTCTTCACTTTTTCTCAAAACATTCATCACTATCTTCATTAAATAAGGTTATTATTGACCAAAAAAAAAATATTTTTAATTAGTGTGCAACTTTTCAAAACGACATATATTAAAAATAGGAGGTAGTAGTATTTACACTAAGTTTCACACAATTAGCGTTTTGAGTAAAATGAAAAACTAAAAGAGTTGTATTGGATTAAGAGAAACGGCTTTTGGTTAATCCCATTCATAAGAAAAGTCTTAATTAATCTCCATTCTTAGTTGCAAAGGCAATTAATTAAGGCCAAATTGCTCCATTATTGGCTGGCTAAGCACAATGAACAACACAACTTAAAGGGACCCTCTAAGGGCTTCTCCAATGGTTAGCTATTTGACTACCTATTATGACGTGGACAGGGAAAAAGTAAGAGAGAGAATAGTCACTAGCTACTAAGAGCATCCACAATGCTTTGGGTCTCTTTTTGCATATGTGGCAAATAAATAGACTTAAGTCCATAATGATATGGACAAACCTAAACTAAAAAAACCAAAATCTATCCAATGCAAAACCAAAAAGTACTATGTTTAGAATACATGACAACCAATAAAAATGCTCTAGTATATTTCATTTATTAAAAGAAAAATTAAATGAGGAATAAATGATGAGTGCTTGGGTTTGTACTTGGGTCTAAAATAGACCCAAGTGTGGACTAAGTCTCATTTTTTTATTGCCACATAAGCTAGACTAGTTCCACTTTTAATTGCATTGGAGAACACTTTTTTATAGACTAGGTCTATTCCTTACATGACATGTAACTTTTTTCTAAGAAACCCAAAGCATTGTGGGTGCTCTAACAAATAGCTCTTCTCCAATGGTTAGCTATTTGACTACCTATTATGACGTGGACAGGGAAAAAGTAAGAGAGAGAATAGTCACTAGCTACTAACAAATAGCTTATCTATTTCACGTAGCCCAAGATCATGTGAGAGGAGTACGTGGGTCCAATAGTGTAAAATAGTTATTTTTCTTATCTCTCACATCCACGTCAGCTAACCATATAGCTAGTAATAGCTATTACCATTGGAGATGCCCTAACTAAATATATATATAAATAAATTTTCGAGAAATATAATATTAGAATCAGGGGAAGAGAGAGGGTCCCACCAGATGAAACGAACCATAAAAGGATGGGCCTAGATGCATCTTAGTGAGGTTCCATCCCAAAACTAATTGGTGATGAGAGGAGTAACTCACTAGGCTTATATACTAGACTCATTTTTTCTATAGAATCAATGTGAGACAATTCACAAGTGTCATTCTAACATATAATATTTGCATCTTGTGGTATTAATATAACTCCATGTACTAAGCACAAGAAAAAGAATAATACAAATAATTAGTTTAAGGCCTAATGCTGACATAATACGCGCATAATAGTATCGTCATCGATATAAAGTACGAAAAATTATTTAGGATGATCATAATTATGAATGAGAAATGATGGAAAAAAAACCATATTGAAGTACCTATCTACCAAACTTCAAAATTTTCAATGTGTAATTTCTTTAGATCTGTCAACGACATTATAGCATAAGCTATCCGCTGTCGGCCCACTTAATTAGGACCATAAAATGAGAGTTGAAAGTACTTAATTAGAAGTCGAGATAATCAACTCCATAATTAGGTTGAGCATGGGACTCGGATAATTCTAAACCATTCCGAAAATTGAACCGATATCATACTGAACTGAAAAATAACCGTTGACCGTTTGACTTTATCCGAACCGAACCGGACCGAAAAAAATAATTGGTACGGTTCTGGAGATTTCACAAATACCCCTATCGAGAACCGAATTGAACCGTCTCGTACCATACCGAACCGAGTAACTGAAATTAAGTATCGAATTATAAAATGGATGTGTGATATTAATATATTTTATGTCAACTTTGAGCCTATATAATTTGAATTTTTTAAAATGAAAATAAAATATAGTTATAACAATTAAGCTTCATTTAAATTTCATGCTTAATAATACTTGAGATCTACAATTGAATTTTCCTGGTTTAAGAAAAATATATTTTTAATGGTATGAAAAGTTAAAGAAATATTTAAAAAAAAATATTTAAACATTACTTAAATTTGTCGACATTATTCTTATTATATCTTATAAGTAACGTGGTATGGATTTAATAAAAAACTGTATTATATTCTATTTGAATTTTCAATGTAAGCACAAATTTAATCTTGACTAAAATTTAAGGTTATTTCTCCATTTGATTTAAAAATAAAATCTTTAGTATGATAAAGTATTGATGAATGTTGAATTTGAAAAAATATATATAAAAATTAAAATACAACTAAATGGCCATTCAAAAAAAAATTTAAAAATAATTAGAAATCTCCGAACAGAACTGAACCGAAATGTTCCCATAGTCACGAGAACCAAACCTAACCGAAAAATGAAAATATCTGAACCGAACCGAACCGATTTTTTGGTACTATTTCGGAGATTGAATTTTAGTAATCTCCGAACTGTACCGACTCATGCTCATCCATAATAATTAGTGCACTAATGGCAAGAGAACAATGAAAAAGATTTATTTAAAACATTTGCATAGTACGTGGTGCTTTACATTTTTCTTATTATTACTTCGGTTGTCAGCGGTGGAAGTTGTAATTCTCCATTTATCGGTTCATGTTGATTGCACCTCTCGAACTGGCCTTCTATTGGTCCTCATCAGCTTGTTCCCTGGAGACCTGCAAAGACGTCGGGAGGTGCTCCCGACGTTAAACCTCCAACGTTCAAGTCAGTAAATGGTAGAGGAAAGTTGTATGTAACTGTATGTAAAGTTTAGAGTTTGTAGAGTGTGATTTGATCTTACATTCCTCATCTATTGACTTGTTTATAAGAAGTTGTTAGCTTTCCGCGTACGCTTCGCTCTTCGTCCGTCAGATCGTTTATTCTTTTT